AATGAGCAGAACAGAGGCTAAAATGAGCAGAACAGAGGCTAAAATGAACAGAACAGTGGCTAAGATGAGCAGAACAGTGGCTAAAAGGAGCAGAACAGTGGCTAAAAGGAGCACAAGAGTGGCTAAAATCAGCAGAACAGTGGCTAAAAGGAGCACAAGAGTGGCTAAAATGAGCAGAACAGTGGCTCAAATCAACTAAACAGAGGCAAAAATGAGCAGAGTGGCTAAAATGAGCAGAACAGTGGCTATGATGAGCAGAACAGTGGCTAAAATTAGCAGAACAGTGGCTAAAATGAGCACAACAGTGGCTAAAAGGAGCAGAACAGTGGCTAAAATCAACTAAACAGAGGCAAAAATGAGCAGAGTGGCTAAAATGAGCAGAAGAGTGGCTCAAATCAACTAACCAGAGGCAAAAATGAGCAGAGTGGCTAAAATGAACAGAACAATGGCTAAAATGAGCAAAACAGACAGAGCAGAATAAAAACAAAAAGCTAAAAACAGAAAACACAAAAACTAAACTTGAAAAAGATAGAGGCGAACAAACTAGAAGCAGCGCACCAATGAAGCTAAAAGCAGCACAACAATAGCTATAATTAGCAAAACAGAAGCTATACATTGCAAAGCTCCTTAAAGCTAAAAGCAGCTAAAGTAAGTGAAACAAACAGAATCAGTTTGCTAATCCAGATTCCAAAACAAACTTTGTTTTTGAAGAAATTGAAGAAATCCTAATGTATTTATACGGGGAATCTCATTTTAGATCAAGTTATTCTTTTTTAAACATTTAAAAGTTACCAATCTCAAAAGCCAGAGCATCCATCTCCTGAATGAGCTGAACGTTTTGATATACAAGCAGCTAAAATAGCACCAAGTACGTAGACTCAACAATCACTCAAAGTAGAACTAAAAGCAACAATCCAGACTGAGCTGCGTCGGACCTGAACTGCCTGTAGATGCTGTTGAAAGCTAAAGCGGCTCCAAGTCTTTTGAACCCGTTTGGGTGAAGGGCCAAGCTGTAAATGCGTTTAAACAGGGACTTCATGTTGGTCGGGCTCTTCTCCTGCTGCTTGGGGGTGGTTTGTTTGATTGACCATTTGACAAACTCTTCAATGCAGCGGCCACAGAAGTCTCTGAGAGTGCTGTCCACCGGGTCCACCACACCGTCCTGAAGACACACAACCAGGAGGAAAACTCAACACGCTGCCTTAAACCCCCAACGACGATGAGTTCAGGTGCAGGTAAAACCGTCAGAATTAAATGCCTTACCAGAATGGCCTCCAGAACAGCTACTGTATCTTGGCTCTCGAACTTCTTGTTGTTTGTGAACCAGTGAATCAGCTGCATGACGAGCGGCTCAAACAGCTGTCTGGTTACCTGGAAAACAAAGACGTCGTGGTCAAACCCTCATAAGAGATCTGTATGTGTTGAGAACGACTCTCAGCTACTACCACACCAAACTTTAGCGCAACATTGGTAGACTTGACTGAGTTACAGCCATTTTTGTGTTAAGAAGTTAAGATGCTAGAAGGTTTCAATAAAACCCATCCAGTGGTTCATGAGATATGTAGCTAACCGACAAACAGGGCGGAGTACCAATCGTTATTCTGAACAAAGAACCCTAAAGGCCTAAAATACAAAGTGCTTCCCCACCATTATACAAGGACGCCGCCTCGCCCGGTCAACAACAGAACTGAGTGCCCTGCCTACCAAAATGAACTGGCCCCCCCACCCCCATTGACATCTGTCGGCACTGATGTAGCGCTAAGCTAGTGGTGCGTAATACATATGCGTTAGCTAAAAGCTATAAAGGTAGCGCTCCCGTTCCCCTCCCCCCAACAACTGTCGAAACAAACAGCGTGCAAAACAGATGTGTCTTCATCTCCACCCCTCCTCCACCTCACAGTCGAAGAGATGAGCGCCCTGCCAAGGCATGTAACCTAGAGAAAACACTGAATATGTGTGGATCAATCTCTGCATCTATTTTACCACATTTAGTATCAATCTCTATAAAACTGACTGACAGTTATTTTAAGGACAATTAGCTGTGGTGGCCATCTTGAATCAGGCTGGCACCAGAAGGTGACTGGGTGTAGACGTGCATCCATCCAAAGGCGTTTCAACCTCTACAACACGAGCGTCAGACGAACCTGATCGACATCACAGGCCAAACGCAGCAAAACAGGAAACAGTCTTTTGTGCAGCTTGTACATCGGCGGCAGTCGGTTCTCCCCTTCAACCATCTGAGCGCTCTTCCCGACCATGAAGATCACCGAGCTGTGGAGCAGCTCACAGGCCGCGACCTGCAAAGACACGCGAGAAGATCCTGAACACCTGCTTGTCTGAATATGCCGAGAGTCGAAGAATGCGTACTTTGGTTTGCCGGTCGCTCGTGGACAGAGCCAGCTCGCTGATGCGAGGCAGGAATGGGTCGAGGTAGATCACTGGCTTCATGTCGGCGAAAGGCACAGCAAAGCTGAGCCTTTTCTCCGAGTCCCAGGCGACAAACTTCTTCATCATCTCTTCTGAGGAGACCACTATATGCAAAACACAGAGGCTTATACAGAAAAACTAGCTACATGCATCCACCACACGTCAAAGACTTAAAAGGACTACACTTGAACAACAAGGTTTGATTCTTACCGGTGACGAGGTTTCTGTTCAGCCTCCCTCCCAGGTGACCGAGCAGCTTCACCACCCGGAGTCTTAGCATGACGAGAGGAGCGTCTTCCTGCATAAAGACAAACGTCACCAAGAAAACTCAAGACCTGCATGACTCTCAGAAAAGTTTTACTTTTTTATCACGCATGGAAAAGACGAACTCTATTCCTCACGTTATGAAAAAAGAAATACAAAACAAGAGAAACTATTTTCTGCTAAATGCAGTCTGAACGCTGAGAGCTGAATGACTGATGCAGTTTGCTGCTGAAGCTAACTGAGAAGCAAAACATGAACTAAAAGCTAAAGGGAACGAAACACTTGCTAAAAGATAAAGTAGCAACAGGGTCTCTAATGTTTAATGTAGCAAAAGGTTAGATTACTGTAAGTATACAAATGCTAGATTGAAAGTAAAAGTAGTAAAAGGCTTGCTATAAGCATAAAAAAAGCTAGCCAGAAGCTAAAACCTATCCGTTGCAAAAGGCTAGCTAAACCCTTAAAGCATCCAAGGCTTCCTAAATGCTAAAAGTAGCATAATGGTAGCTTAAATTTAAAAGCAAAATGTTAGGTAAAAGTAGCAGAAAGGTAGCAAAAGGCTTTCTAAAACTTAGCTAAGCGTAGTAAAATGCTAACTAGAAGTAGTAATAAACTAGCTGAAGGTTAAAAAGGTAGCTAAAAGCAGTAGCCTAGTAGCTCATTGCTAAAAAAAAATAGCAAAAGGCTAGCTAAAAACTAATGTAGTAAAAGCTTAACTAAAAGCCAAAATTAGCATAACAACAAAAAGTAGCAAAAGGTTAGCTAAATGCTAAATGTAGCAAAAGGCTAGTTGAAAGCCAAACGTATAAGTTTTCAGAAAACTTGAGGAAAAATTAAAAAGAGGAAAACAAAAAAGTGAATGCTGAAACAATTAAATCAAAATTTGTATTTGTTACCGTAGAGAGCTGGTTGGATTTCTTCAGCAGCCTTGTCATCACTCTGTTGTACCCTCTGTCACTTTTCGATGACAAAGAAGACATCACCTCCCAGTTGCTCTCATCTTTGTCTAAGCAAAAACGTCTTCAAATACAAGCATTTATAAACGAGAATAAACGTGTCAGGGTGCGTCTTACCATTTGTAGAGGTGGTTTTCAGGTATCCATCCAGGAGCGGCAGGATCTCCTTGTAGCAGGGCTGCAACGTCTCCTGGGTAATGTTGGAGGACCAGTCCTCGAGCGCGTCCAGGGCTGTGTTGGCCAAAGGAACGTGGCTCAGACCCAGCCTCAGAGCTGTCTGGACCCAACCAAAGCACAAACCCACACATTTACTTCAGTAACTGACAGTAAAACTCTTTAAAAGATGCATGAGTGGGTGGGTAGGTTGGTGGATAGGTAGGGTGTGTGAGGTAGGAAGGGCAGGTACAGGGGGAGGGGAGGGTAAGCACAAAGGTAAGTAGGTAAAGTGCGTAGGGTAGGTGGGTAGGAAAGTAATCAGGTAGGCAGATAGGAGTAGAAGGTATGATAGAATGGGATGGTAGACAGAGAAGACGGGGTATGGGTGGAGCTAAGTAGATAGGTAAGAAGATAAGGTGAACAGGGTAGGTAGGAAGGTAAGATGGTATGGTAGGCAGAATGATTTGGTATGGAAGGATAAGTAAGTAGGCAGGGAGGATAGGATAGATGGGTATGGTAAGGTATGTACAGTAGGTATAGAGGGAGGGTAGGTAGATATTAATGTAGGGTAGGTAGAAACGTACATTGAACAAAAATACAGTAAATGCAACACTTTTTGCACCCATTTTTCATGAGCTGAACTTGAAAATCTATGACTTTTTCTACATCCACAAAATACCCTTTTCTCTCATCGTTCACAAATTTGTGTAAATCTGTTAGTGAGCACTTCTCTGCCGAGATAATCCATTCACCTCACAGGTGTGGCATATCAACAAGATGCCGATTAGACAGCAGGATTATTGCACAGGTGTGCCTTAGGCTGACCACAATGAAAGGCCACTTTAAAATGTGCAGTTTTAATCTATTGGTGATGATTTTTTAAGATTTTACCACATATTCAATATTTACTACCACAAACTCAATTTTTAGATAAATTTATACATATGTATAAACATGTATGTATCCATTGTACATATCCATCCATCAAGGCTAGCTAAAAACTAATGTAGTAAAAGCTTAGCTAAAAACCAAAGTTAGCATAACAACTTCAAGTCTTTGTACGTATCCATCCATCCATCCATCCAGAATCCCACCTCCAGAGCAGGACAGTAGGCCTTGATGTTCAGAGCCACGATGTTGTGGTGCAGTGAGAGGACAAAGGTCAAGCAGGACGCCAGGAGTTCATCTTTGTATTGCTTCATCCTCACACACACCTAGTGGTCATCACACATTCATAAATCATATGTTGAAGTAATATAAAACAAACAAGACTTTTTCCCCAAAATGAAAGGTGTACCTCTTTCCCAAACTTAGAGAAAAGTGCAAAACAAGCACTTTTCACTGTGTCACCCTGAGGAGATGCAGAACTTCTGAGGCCAACTCCCTGTTGAAGAGCAGATTTTTAATGTTCGTATACATATTAAATAAAAATATGTGCTTGTTACGAGACCACCTTCTTTATACCCTACACATTCTCTGAGCTGCAACAGATCACGGAAGATTTTTGGTTAAAATGTTGGAATGCAGGACGGCATTGATTTGATTTCTTTTTTTTTTTAAGAAGATGAGTTAGCCAGTGTAACAAAATGAAAATATTACCTGGAAGTACTTCATTCTCTTGGCAATTTTCATGGTGACGGACAGCAGCTTGTAAAAGCCGCTGACAAGAGGATTTCTTATGGAGTGGAGGATGAGTTCATGACTCAGGGGATACATCCAGGAGTGGAAATATTCCACATGTTTATTCAGCAACAACTCACTGCACAAAAGGAAAAAGAGATCACATGGATCTTTAAATGTACAGTTCAGATGTCTCGCGGTTAAAAATCTAACGGGGCTTCAGTCCTATAAATGGGGAGGAACGTTCTCGTTGTGCGTCTTTACCTGCAAAAGTCCACCAGGTTGATGAAGGCAGTGAAGTCTTTGACCTTGTTGGGCAGCAGGTGAGCTGTGGGGTCGGACGACGGCAGGGCATGGGCCGAGTCATCCGGCGTCTGGGAGACAACAGATCACAGGTGATTTTACGACAACTTGACATCAATAATGGCGTCTGTCAGTTTCTAACCGTAGATCCCATTGCAATGTGTGACGTCAGCAAGTATTAAGATCTCCGGCAATAGGAACTTCGAGTAAAATGCGATTAGCGCCGTACTTGTGGTTTGCGCCAATAAAAAAGATGGTATCTAAGAAGCTTTGTCGCTACAGGACTTGCAATAGTGACATCTTGCTGATATTTGCAAGGCATATGGTTCATGACTTTTCCAAAGCCGTATACTCGGGGAGAGAAACGTCACCTCATTATTGGGGGATTTCACTAAACAGGGATTTTTTTTTTAAAGCATTTTTGGGGGGAGAGGAGGAGGGGCCCTAAAAGTACAGCAAAATGTATTGTAAAATGACATGCAATGCTCAGATGTTGCCATGGAAACGTTTAAACAAAAAACTGCAACGGTAGTCATTAATGATTTTTAATGTGCTCACTTTGCAGGTGATTAATCCAAGTCATTTGTGACGTTCATCTCAACCTCAGATTGGAGATGAAAGCATTGTTCATGCCGTCTGGCGCATTGTTTGCCCGGCCTCCGGGACTTTCGGGGTTTCCTCGCAATAGTTGTGACATCATCTTCAACCAGTGCCATTGGATTAACCAAAACTTAGCAGTTCTCCTCACATGGGAGAAAAATGTCTCCACCAATGCTAAAGAAACTGCAGGGGCACCTGTGTTCCTGTCGTCAATGAAGCCAGTTTTACATCAATGTGGACCAAGAGGACCAAGAAAGCAGCTCCAAAACCTCCAAGCTGGTCTGAAACCTGCAGCTGTCCACATGGACCGGACAAAAGTCTTCTGCAGAAAAGCTCGGACAAGGCAAAGATCGAGCTGTTTGGCCACAACGGCAAGATGGATGTTTGGAGGAGTCGAGGAGAGGCTTTAAAGAACACATCGTGCTTTGGGGTTGAGTGGGTAGAATTATGGAGGTGGTCTACCTCAAAGTCTTTCACCTCAAATCAGCAGCTGGACGGTGGGAACTTAAGTCAGCTGGGTGTTCCAATGATCCCAAACACATCAGAACTGGTTTCAGCTTCTAGAACGGCCTCAACCCCATTGGAAACTCTGGACTTATGACAGGAAATCAACCAATATAGATGAATTATGCTAAGAAGTAAAGCAGTTAAATATCAGCCAGAAGTTTCTTGACTGAGGCAAAAACCCTGTGGTCCAGGCGCAACAAGCTTTGAAACATTCACCAAAATAGTGGAATAGCTTGAATATATTTAAGCTTTCTAAAATAACAAACACCAAAAAAAAAAAAACATTTCACCTCCTCTCCTGTTATTTTCTGCACAGACAGGTCCAGTTTCTCCACGATGCGTAGAATCGATTTCACCAACTCGTTGTACAGAAGACGACTCAGAGACCCGAGAGATGCATTCTGGCTTTCGAAAGCCCCGTCCAAAAACCCAGAATCCTGCAGGAGGAGGGACGCAACGTCAAAACCAGAGAAACTGCATTTCCTGCGAAAATGCAGTGCGAATACTAATTGCCGAAGAACTTGCTGAAAAAACAGCTGAAATTAGCTAAAAACATTCTGAAATGTAGCTGAAATGGAAGAACAAGCCTTAATTAGCAGAAGATTGCAGAAAGAACACAAACTAGCTGAAATAAGTTTAAATGAGCAAAAATTAGCACAAAAATTGGAAAGTAGCTAAAAAAGATGAAATTTGCAAAAATGGCTGAAAAGTAGCTGAAAAGGCAGAAAGAAGCTTAAACTACCAGAAGTAAGCAGAAAATCTGAAATGAGCTAAAAAAAAAAAAAAAAGTGGAATTAGCTGAAAAAGCTAAAATTAGCATCAAAAAAGCTAAATAGTAGCTAAAAGAGCAGAAAAAGCTGAAACTAGCAACAAAAAAAAGCTGGAAAATGATAAGCTGAAATTAGCATAAAGAGTTACTTAGGCTGAAAGTAGCATGAAAATCTTGAACTGATCTGAAAACAGCTGAAATTAGCTAAAGAAAATACTAAAAAAAAATAGCAGAAAAGGTAGAACAAGCTTAAATTTGCAGAAGAGAGTAAAAAAGAGGAAAGTAAAATAAAAAAGTTTGCCAAATTAGGCTGAAAGAAGCAGAAATGAGAACAAAAAAGTGGAAATTATCTGAAAAAAGCAGAAATGTGCAAAAACAGCTGAAAAGTAGCTAAAAAAAGCAGAAAGAAGCTTAAATTATCAGAAGTAGCAAAAGCAATTTTTTTGCTGAATTAGGCTGAAAAAAGTTCAAATGAGTGCAAAAATGTGGAATTAGCTGAAAAGCTAAAAGAAGCATGAAAACAGCTGAAGTAGTAGCTGAAATAACAGAAAAAGCTGAAACTTGCAGAAATAAGCTGAACAGAGCGTAACAAGCTGAAATTGGCAAAAATAAGTTAGAAGAGGCGCAAAAATGTTGTTAGTAGAAAGAATCATAAAACAGCTGAAGAAACCGCTGAAATAAGCTGAAAAAAGTTTGCATTTGCACAAGAAAGCTGAAAAAAGCTGAAGCAGAACAAAATGTGCAAGGAGCAGTAAAAGGTTGTAAACAGATCTAAAGATTTGAAGGATGTAAAATGAACTTAATTCATTTTCTATGAGGAAAAAAAATAAGGCTAAATATTTTAAAAAGCTAAAGTTGTACCAATACCAAAAGTCATAGCAGGATTGTCCTGAAAGAGCAGAACATTTTGATAAATGATTTGTTAAAATCAACCAAAAATTCTGGAACGACATAGAAACTGCCAATAATAAACAGGATCACAACAGTGTGAAAGCTTCCTAAACATTCACACAATAAACGTCTCATCTCAGCTGATTCTACCTGTAAATAGAGGTTTCTCAATCCATTAAACATGGTGACTAGAGCAGGACAGCATCCATACTGTAAAAAAATAAACATCTAAATGTACCTTCAAACAGTCACAGTCTAGAAGTTCTTTATACAGTGGGAGGTAACTGTGACAGGATGGGACTTTCCATTTTCCAACCTGGACTTCAGAAGACTTGCCTTTTTCTGAGTCCTAAAACGCATCACGAGAGACCATTTTCCTTTTCAATGTCAAAAATAAATAAAGAAATAAAACATTAAGATGAAATAAAAATAAATAAATACATAAATGTGTCAGACCTCGGAGAGCACGATGGGTTTTGAACAGACACGAATCAAGCCTTGGTGCACTGTGAAAAAATAAACATTGTGGTGGACGTTAAGCGTTATATCGTTAGAAAACAGTCACACAAAAACAAAAACCTTTAAAAATGTTTAAAGTTTTATTTCCTGCTGTGAAAGAATCAACAAGCTCAGCGATGTTGACAAGTCAGTGTTTCATTTAGAGTCCATCGTTCAACAGAGATGATTCACACAGGGAAAACATTTAAAAGAGCTGCAAATTCACCCCAAAGGTCAGACTGTGCAATGCTCAGAGGAATGAACAGACTCTACAGGCCTCAGTCAGCAGGTCAAAGGTCATGGCTATTTACTTTAAAAACAACATGGCAGCATGACTTAAGTTTGTAAAGTTTCATCTGAAGGAACCGCAAGACTTCTGGGACAGAAGCAGACAAGAGGGCAGATGTTTACCCAGAATGCACTGCAGCAAACCGCTCCTCCCAGCTGTCAGCACGGTGGCGGAGGCTGATAGTTTGGGCTCCTTCAATCACTGAGTGGACCATGAACTCCTCTGTAGACCAAAGGGTTCTGGAGCCTGTGAGTTTATCTGTCTAACAGCTGAAGCTCGGACCAAACTGGGTCCAACAGAACCATGATCCCAACCACAGCAGCTACTCTACAACAGAACGGGTCAAAAACAAAAGAACCAAGGTGCTGCAACGCTCCAGTCAGAGTCCAGAACCTCAGACCTGACTGAAACGCTGTGGTGGGACCTTCAGAGAGCCGAGCAGTAACCTCAACAATGAAAAGAAGAGCGGGCCAAACGTCCTCCACAACCACGAGACTGAAAAACCACAGGAAACCACAGAGTAGCTACTACAGGAGGTTCTACAGCTGCTGGACCAGGAGCTATTTTATTTAAATATGGTGGATTTTCTTCTCACCATCACTGTAAACTCAAAATGCAAGAAGCTCTCAACCAAGAAATGTTTAGGACTGCAGCCATCGTCCCTGAATGGTTCTGGACAATAAGTTGCTCCATGTGGTCAAAACGGCTTAAATTAAGCTGCCGCCTGACACACAAAGTGCTGTGAGTGCTCGTACCCACAGAGCTGATGAAACTCCACAGGACCGGTCCCTTCGAGGCCATGGCCACCAGGACCTTCAGGATGGACCTGCAGCAGGCCGCCTGCATCCTCTCGCTGTACTGAGGGAAGCTGTCGATCTGCACCACGAGCAGACGCTCCAGTATCGGCGTGTACACCTCTGGGATCTGAGGACGCAAAGAAGCGTTTCACAGCAGCTGGGAGAAAGAATCACCTGAGCCTCCCGGACCGACGTAACGTTCTGACCTTGTCCAGGTGGATGAGGACGCTGGCAATGGAGTCCAGGAAGCTGGGCAGCTGGTAGAAGCTGTCGTCCTCCCTGTCGGACTCCGTCAGGTACATCTGCTTACAGCGCTGGATCAGCTCCGTGTACATCAGGTCCACGTCCTGAGGGCAAACCTTCTTACACGGCTGCAGGAACGAAATGGATCAGACGGAACCGGCAGTTAGCTTCACGTGAGGAACTAAAGGCGAAGCAACGCAAACGGACAAAACTAACGACTGCACGGTGGATTATACATCAGAACTGCTCATTCATGTGAGGAACTCCTTCCTCGGTGTTCGTGCCATTTCAGCAATTCATGAATGGAAACGTTCGGCTCATTCTGGGCGCTCCTCTGGTATCTGTGCCGTTTTTACTTTTTGGGACATTTAGCTTTGTCGGCCATCTTTTTCTCATTGAAAATGAACGGAGCTCTATTCACGTCCTGCAAACCCTTTAGCTGTTTAAAACATTTTACTGCTCATTTCAGCTTTTGTTCAGCTTCAGCTGTTTTCAGCTTCCTTTAGCTCCTTTCTGATGATTTCAGCTTTTATTCTGCCTCATTCAGCTTTTTTGTACTCAAGTTATTTTGTGCATTTTACGCTAATTTCAGTTTAATTCTGCTAATATTTATGTTTTTCTGCATTTTCAGCTACTTTTCTTCTATTTTTGGCTTTCTCTAATTTCAGCTGTTTGTGTTTATTTAATCTTATTTCTGCGTTTTTCAGTAAACTTGTGCTCTTTCAGGCTCCAGTTATTAATTTAAACTTTTTCAGCTTTTTAAAAGCTACATTAAACTTTTTTTGGCTACTTTTCAGATTATTTTTGTTAGTTTCAGCTTGTTTGTGCTCTTAAAGCCTCTTTCTGTTAATTTTAGCTTTTTAGCATCTTTCTGCCAACTTCAACTTTTTTTTGCCTCTTCAGCTACTTTTGATTTTATTTGTAGCTTTTATCAGCTACTTTCCAGCATTTTGCAACAATCTTATTTCAGGCACTTCTAATTTAAACTTTTTTTCTGCTTTTTCAGTTAAATTTCCACCAATTTAAACATTTTTGTCACTTTGCAGCTGATTTCAGCTGGTTTGTGCTCTTTCTGCTAATATTTATTTTTGCTTTTTTTAGCTACTTTTTGTACATATCTATTTTTCTTGGATATGTTTGTGGCTTATTCTGCTACTTTTCAGCTAATTTTTATTTTTTTGCTATTTTTTAAAATCTTATTCCTGCTTATTTCAGCAAACATGCTCTTTCTACTTATTTGAACCATTTTTTGGCTTCTTTTCAACTAATTCATCTGTTTTGTGCTCGTTTTAGCTTTTTTTTTTTAATATACTTCTTGCAGCTTCTTTCTACTAAAATGAGAATTTTGTGCATTTTTTTTCAGCTACTTTTCTTTTAATTCCAGCTGATTTTGCTCCTTTCAGCTTCTTCTTTCAACTTTTCACCTACTGATGTTTTTCAAGTAATCTTTAGCTTGTTCTGCAGAAAGTAGCACTCACGATGCGTTTTCACAGGAAATGCAAACCTACCTAGTTTAAGATCAATTAAGAGTCCTTTTTGTTGCATTTAGTAAAAATAGTGTTTCAGTGGAAAGATTATGAACAGCTAATATCTTACCTGTTGCAGATAGCTCTCTGAACTACTCAGTTTGGAGAAATAAAGTTTAATTGTGACCGGAGCTAACGGACAGTCCGATCTGAGCCAAACCCCTGCGAAATAAAGATTATTAAAAACTTGCATATCTGCCTGTCTTCATTTCTAAAGTGTAATAAAAGTAAGTGTTTAGATTAGCAATCTAAAGCTGCAATTGGTAAATTATGCCAGAGTCTTGGCTTAGTTTGTCAATCTGATCTTAATTTACTCTACATCTCCAAACTGAGGACGTTCAAAGAGCCATCTACAACAGGTAAGATATTAACGCCCACTTTAAAAGAGTCGTAACTATCCCTTTAACTTACAGCTGCAAAGAATCCGTATCCTCGTATGGCGATGGACAGCTCTTTGTGCGTCGAGTCCATGGTCTTAATGATGCCACAGAACTTCTGCATGAAGAACTTCAGCTTGGCTTTGTGCTCCTCGATGTTCTCCGCCACCAACAGGGCGACCTGAAACACGAACGCAGACATTTGGAAACCAGGCGCTCGTTAAACCCGCGGCTCGGTCCGGATCCGAGGTCCTCACCTGTTTGAGGAAGGCCTCGAGGGCGAAGTAGCTCGTCTTCTTCATCTCGCCGTTGATGTGCCCGCAGAGCTTGCACATGGTCTCAAACAGAGCTCTGTAGTGGTCCGTGAGGCAGCTGCTGAACTGGGACGCGTGCCGGGCGAACAGCTTGAGCCCGGCTGTTCAAGAGAGACGCAGTCGGTCTTCATTTACACATAATCAAAAATTAAATCTCTGACGAGTCTTACCGAACGTGACGGCGTAACGGCTCATTTCCATCTGCAGAGAAGCAGCATCTGGTCAGAAAACAGAACGATCCATCCGAACACGGTGAAAAACAAACGTACCTGTGGACTGATCGCCTTCAGCGTGTACTGAAAGATCTCCCTGGACGTGACTGGGTCTGCGAGGCAGAGACAATCTGATCAGTGATGTACGGCTGAACCAGAATAAACTGTGAAAGTAGGAATAAAACACCATCGGCCACCTTCCTCCATGGTTTTAGTGAAGTTCACCATCAGGGCCGTGATCCCTCTCAAACAGCCGGCGACAACATAAAGTCGGGGTTCCTTTGTGGACGACGTCATCTGAAGCGAAAAATATCCCTTATATATTTATTGTTTCTATAATCTGACTACTTCTGCATACTTTGTAGATTTAAACGTTCATAAATCAAAAGATGCATCTCTATCAAAGGACGGCTGCTTCGACTTTTGATTTAATTATTGTTTTTATACTTTAAACTTTATTAATCCAAATATTTATCTCAAAAATGTTCCATTGTTCTTTTAGATATCTGTTTCAGCAAACTGGCTTTATTTGGGCTGCTTTTAGCTAGCCTTTAGCTACTTTGAACTTTAGGCTAGTCTTCAGCTACATTTAGGTTTAGTTAACCTATTATTGCTTAAGCTCTTAGCCAATCTTTTGCTATTTTTAGCTAGCCTTTAGCTACTTTGAACTTTAGGCTAGTCTTTAGCTACATTTAGGTTTAGTTAACCTATTATTGCTTAAGCTCTTAGCCAAATTTTTGCTACTTTTAGCTAGCCTTTAGCTAGTTTTAGGTTTAGTTAACCTATTATTGCTTAAGCTCTTAGACAATCTT